AATAATCTTGCCCCTTCCATTAAGTTTAAAGCTGAATGGGAATCTAATTTCTTGCTTTCTTTTCTTGATGTTCATGTCCACCGCTCAGATACAGGTTTTGCCTTTTCTGTTTACCGCAAGCTTATGCACAGTGGCATGTACATTCACTACTTCTCTTATCATGCTTCCTCTGTTAAGAAAAGTGTTCTTATCTCCCTCTTTCTCCGTGCTCTCCGCATATGTGATCCTCAGTTCCTTCAATCAGAAATTTCCACTCTTCATAATTCATTTTCCCATCTTGGCTACCCTTCCCATTTCATAGACTGCCTTCTCACATGCTAAACGTAATTTCTTCTCTCCCAAACTCTACTCCTGGGAACTCTTCTGTCCTCTGCCTTCCCTACATTTCCGGTCTTTCTAATCTTAACAACTCTCTCCATTCCTTAGACATTACACTTAGTTTCTGCCAGACTAACTCTCTTCGCACTACTCTCATTCATACCTCTCCTCCTTCTACAGATGCTCCTGGTGTCTACTCTATTTCTTGTTCCTCCTGTCCTCTTCCATACTTTGGAGAAACTGGTCGATCTCTTTCTGACAGACTTAGGGAGCACAAAGTAGTGTTAGGCTTGCTGACACTAACAATGCTCTCTTCTGTCACGTCAGAGATCACAGTCATCCTATTGACTGGTTTTCTGCTAAAACCGTCTTCCCTACTTCCAACTTCAACAGTTGCCATCTGGTTGAATCCTCCCTAATACACAACTTTCCTTGTATGAATCTTAGTCCCAGCTTCGTCTCTGTAGATGCCTTCCTCTCCCACTACATTGTAAAATGCTCCAAACTTCAGAACACTCGTGACCTAACCTGATTCCTCCTTTTTTCTTCTTCTCCCTCTTCCCCTTTCCTTTTTCTCCTTTGGGTTGTCTTTCTTCTGCCTGTGTATTTGTTCTTTCTTTATTTATTTGTTCCCCGCCTCCTCCTCGGTGTTCTTGCTCTGACCCTCTGTGGGCACCAGCTCCCTTGCAGTGCTCCTCTTTCTTAGTACAGTGGACCCCCGCATAACAATCACCTCCGAATGCGACCAATTATGTAAGTGCGTTTGTACGTGTATGTTTGGGGGTCTGAAATGGACTAATCTACTTCACAATATTCCTTATGGGAACAAATTCGGTCAGTACTGGCACCTGAACATACTTCTGGAGTGAAAAAATATCGTTAACCGGGGGTCCACTGTATTTGACTGGCCACTCCTACTCTTACTACCTCCTCACTACTACTTCCTTCCACCTTCACTACTTCCACTGCTACTACTACTACTACTACCACCTACTGCCTATATATACCCGTCCTGCTCTTCTCGTTAGTGTGACTTTGTAAATGGTCCAAGTCGGACCGAAATGTCATCGTAAGCTCCTCTCTTCTATGTGCGGGTTATTTGTGTAATATTCACTGTACAATTCCATAGGCTGATCCGTCTCACTTTTAATGGTAAACCTGAATGTAGGTATGATAGCATTTGCATTTTACCACCTCAGGCAAGGGTATTGAAACACTCCAGCCCTATTTCACCTGGCCTTCATTTTCAGTCTTTAAGGCATCGCCTAGTTTAACACTTTGAATTTCTGTGCTGTCTCTGTATAGATTTATTAAGGTAATATGTCTAATGACTATAATAAAGAGGTTATAAATACAAAAGAAAGTAAAAAAAAAAAAAAAAAACAAGGGAAGTTCATACAGCAATAAGGTTATTGGAAATGACATGGATCAGCCAAGTAAAAGATGAGCATATTAACTATACAGCAGACACCATTTCTGCAGAAACTTAAATATGACTGACAAATAACAATATGATTTGAAGGCACATGGTGAGATGCTCATGGTTCAAGGAATTTAGATTGAGCCTGAATTCCTCCCATTCCTCCAGGCTCAGAGAGTAGATAATCTCTCGAAACTCTTCAAAGGTGTATCACTGAATGACCTCTGTAGGATTAGCATTCCCCATGAATGTAATAATTATAAAGCTTTGATTACACATTGACACTGGTAGTTCGTGTAAAAAGAACTTTGTATGAATGATTTTGCCACTGCCACTAAAAAGTGAAGCTGGAAATAAAATTGGACTGTTCTTAACCCTTTCAGGGTCCAAGGCCAAAATTTGAAGTGGTGCCCCAGTGTCCAAGAATTTTAAAAAAAATTTGTTATTTTTTCTTATGAAATGGTAGAGAATCTTTTTGTGAAGGTAATAATACAAAAAGTACGAAATTTGATGGAAAATTGACGAAATTATGCTCTCGCGAATTTTGATGTGTCAGCGATATTTATGAATCGGCGATTTTGCCAACTTTCACTCCCATTTTAGGCCAATTACATTATTCCAGTCAACCAAATTCTTAGCTATTTCACTAGTATTACTTCTATTCTATCGATTGAGCACAAGAAATTGCCAAGTCAACTGTTTCAACTATAAAATAAAGTGATCGGTAATTGGTAATTTGGCCAATTTAACACAGTTCAAAATATTCCAGTTTCAAAATAGGGTCCAGAATAAACAATGTAGGTATTCCTGGCACTAAACTAACATTTTCTCTGTTCATTAGCTACTTTTGAGGCTTTACAAATAAATTCCATTTTGATTTTTTATTCACATAATGAATTTTTATTCACACCAAAAAATAGAAGATTTACTGTTATGCAATATTGTAATAATTGTATAAATATCATCACCACATTTGTGAATGTATATTAGACCCACCAGCTGGCGTGTATTAGACGTGTGAGGTCGTTTGTTTACTCTTGAACATCGGAAAAAATTTAACATTTCCGCTACTTTGAGCTCAGTTTCAAGCCATTTCCAGTGCTAAAACGAATCAAAATCATCTCTATTTCTGTAATATGTCTTCCATTCTATCAAATGTGACCAGGAAATCGCAAATACAACTATAAAAAACATACGAAAAAACACTGCAAAATCCCTGTTTTAATCAAAAATCACGGTCTCAGTTTTTTCTTTCATTATACACAGTGTGCTGCAGGATTTGTTGTATGTGGTGCACACATACCACATAGATGTATTCTCTCATATCTAGGCCCAAATTTACCTCTCACAGTTTATCAGAGTGAGCTGAGCTCATGGCGTAGATCTACGGTTTGGACCCTGAACGTAAAGCCGTAGATCTACGGGACGGACCCTGAAAGGGTTAAAGCTGACTTTATAGGTTTAATAAGTGCCTGAGAATTACCCATCTTAGATCACGATGCTGCTAAACAGTGTCAAAGAATGTGCTCATTCAGTCACTGGACATAACTGCAGAACAAATCTACAATCTAGACAGAGGCTTGCATTTCTAATTTTTTTTTTTCATCAAACTGGCCATATCCTAATGAGGCAGCATAACCTAAAAAGAAAAACTAAGGTTTCTCTCTTTAAATTTAGTAATCTATATAGGTGAAGAGGTTACTAGCCCCTTGCTCCTGGCATTTTAGTCACTTCTTAAAATATGCATGGCTAATGGAGAAAGAATTCTGTTCTAATTCCCCATGGAGATGAGAGGAAATAAACAAGAACAAGAACTATTAAGAAAGAAGAAAACCCAGAGGGATATGTATATATATGCATGTACATGCATTGTGTAGTGTGACCTAAGTGTAAGTAGGTGAAGCAAGATATACCTGTTATCCTGCATGTTTATGAGACAGAAAAAAAGACACCGGCAATCCTGCCATCATGCAAAACAATTACAGGTTTCCATTTCACACTTGATTGGCTGGACAGAAGTACCTCCTTGGGTGGTTTCTGTCTACCAACTTATTGTCTAGATTGCATTTCTAATATATACTACAAGGCAGGAATATTTTGGAAAGGTTTTCAACAGTATTCTTTTCTAGCAATGAAAAATTATTACCTAGCATAAAAGAATCAAAGGAGAGCCTAACAGCCATGACGTTGGCACATACAGATGGTTAACTATGGGGTACTTGACATTGGAAATAGTGCTTGTCCAAGTGCACTCTGGGTAGTCAGATGTTTCAAATTTATTGCCAGTAAAACAAGGTGGTCTTGCTTACACAAACTTGCAGAAATTTTGGGGCTCTTAAAGACCCAGATTGTGATGCTACTTAAGTTCTCATCACCTGGGTCCTGAGTAAAGTATAGTAATTTCAAATATGTCAAAAGATGCCTCATACTATTCTAAGACTTGGAGAAGTGGATATTGTATGATGATAATGTTCTTGTTTATCGACTTGAACTCAAACCCTTGAAAATGTGATGAAGTGACAATGATTCCTCAAACTATTACATCAGTGGACAGGTGTGCATCTACTATGGATGATTTGGTAAACTGTAATGGATATGAATCCATTCATTATCCAGAAGTGTGATAAAAATAAACATGGCATTATCAAGACATTTATTGAAGAGATGTTTCGCTCAACAGGAGTTAAGTCAGAATTCTTACCAAGCAAGAAATGCAATTTTACAAAATAAGGTTAGCATTTTTCAGAAATATGCATAATTTTATGAATAAGGTAACATTTTTTTTATTTCAAAAGGGTTTAAATGATGCTCTAGGGCAGCTTTTTAATAGGAAGCCCATTAGTAATGCTCCTGCTGGATGTTGAAGATCAGAAAAATGTGTTAGGTGACTAGTCTGATACTGTGCTTCCTTCTTTTGATGATCTTTGTAATTTGCAATTTTCTTTTGACTGTATTTGCATCTGGTGCCTTGATGCTGGTGAAGGGCTCTTAATCCAGTGAATTGGACTTATCCTCCCCATGCTTGGATCAGATATGATTGCCTCTCACTCCCCTAGGTGCTCCCACAGTTTCTTAATCGGATGATGCTTTAATTCATCTTGGACTCCTTTCAATACTTACAGCAAAAAATTTCTGAAGAGGACATATAAACTGTTTTCTGTTATACACGTGTAAGTTTTACAAGTGTATATATTGCATTTAAACGATGTTATCCTCTTTCAAGAGAAAATTGGCAGTAAGAGAAAGTTCCTTCTCCCAACAGCTCAAGATTTTCGGTGTTTGACTGTAACAAAAATTGGCAGTTTCCTGGAATTCACAAGGTGATCATTTCTTAATTTCATTTGTTGTAGTAAGAAATAAAAATTTTTAGTGACAACAGCAAAGTAGGGTCAATTGCTAAAACAAAAATCAGTCACCTCCTAAATCTACAAACCCTTCACTTCAATATTCACACTTTTGTTAGCTCTCCCATATGATTTTGGCCACAACAGTATGAATCAAGTGTTGTAATTTTAAGTAAATATGCACTTGAATATACAGTAATTAGACTGATTTCATGTTTCATTGCATTTTCTAAATACAAGTATCTTTTAGTGATTTCAGCATACTGTATTTTCTGATGACTAGCTTCAAGAGTACACCTGTGCACCCAAAGTCTACTGGTTGTTATGTGTGTGCCAAATATTGCATCTTCTGTACTATTGTGCTACTGTGCTTTCATGTGTCGTGCTCTCTGATGACAGCAAGTCTACACATTAGAGGAATTTGAACTTTGGTGTTTATCTTCAGTGTTCAAAGACGTCATTCATATGAATGAAAACCTAGACTTTCTTATTTATTGATTACAATTTTACATTCTTCTTGGTATGCCTACAAGTAGGCTGTTCCTGGGCTTCTTACCTTACCATGTTGCTCATCACATCGTTTGGTTGAATGTTTTGCTGGGGAAAAAATAATTGAAACTTATATATTAGATTTTAACACATTATGTAAGGGGAGGTGGGAATCAAACTGATGGCTGCTTCAATTCCCAATACACCTTACATAATTTGTTATTTTCATATGGCAACATTCTCATTTCATTTCTTGTACATGAGATTTCATACATGGACAGTTAATCATATTTGATCTCCAGTTGTGAACAACTGGACTAGTTGTACTTTGATGTATGGCAGTAGCTGTATGCTATATCTGATTTCAGAGAAAATACAAATTAATAATATAAGTTTATAGTCAAGGTGATGTAGTGTTATGAGTGTTGTGTGGAGTAATAAACATGTTTTCCAGTAAATGAACAGTGACAAGCCAGCAGTTATATGATGGCGAGTTGTGTCATCTTTATAGTCACAAATAATGCTGCTACACATACTTGATTCTTTCTTAAATTATACCGAAAATTACTGTTTTCTGAAATATATTTTGAATCCCAGTGTGCTATCAACTTTATATATTTACAGGGATTTCTATGTCAATTTGAAATACTATATATCCTGTTTCAAGAATTCATGCCTAATCGTCTTTTTTCATGTGTAATACATTCGAAGGTGTTACAGAGCTCAAAATAGTGTAAACAAGTTGTTAAGGTTATAAATATCAGGCAATGCTTAAATGTTTTGATATGGCAAAATAGATATGAATTTTGATTGCTTTTTGGATACCATAATTTTGAAGTTGCAAGTATCAGTAATTCATTTGTGACCTTTTTTTTTTATCATGCTGTATTTATATATTTATTATTATTTATTTTAATGACTTTATAATTAGTGACAGGAGAACATTGAATGTCTTTCACAAATAAGACTGTGTGGGCCATTGCAAGTTAGTTAACTTCCTAACAGTAAGTAACAAATGTACAAAGCAACATCATCCTCTCACTCCTAGTCATCAAGACATTTGTTATAGATTTGACAGTTTGTCAAATTATAGGAAGTTTTCAAATAAATATAGAAGATAATTCAATTTTAACTATTTACATATGGGTACAATCTCATTTGTGATTTTTACCTGCTCTTAAATTAAACATACATGAATGGATTATGTTCAGTAGACTGTTCAGTAAAGTTGGTTTCATCCTTAACAAAACAAATTTTTGACAAAAGTAGAAACACTAAAATAAATATATTACTGCTAGGCAAATACCACAATAACTTAGAGCTTACCTCAGTTCATTGATTCCTTATTTTTCTTGTTAGTACCACTTGCTTAGGGATCGGTTAACTGTTTTTTAGATACAGTTGATCTGTTTATAATAGCACACATAGTCAGTGATATACTGTGCATTTATTTAAACAGTTATTGATGTTCACTGTACAGCACAGTATTTGAAATATCAGGAAATTTGTTCTAAAAAAATTTAATATTCATAACTAGACTCTAGGATTTTGAGAATCACTTAAGAATTAAAGAGCAAATAAAAACATTTTTTACTGCTGTAGACATAGATGACAGAAAGATAAAACTTAACTTTCATCTTACAACTTGCTGAACATGGGTATCTGATGATGTGTGGGTGACCAAGTAATTGGCCCCAATTTATGCAAAGATCACAGAGAGGTAATATTAGTGATAGTGGAAGACATGTAAGCAATGGCAACCATATCTGTTTAGTTTTGTTTTGTCAGGCCCTCCTATGTTACATATTTGTTTATATTTCATTGTAGCAGTATCCCTTGACATGCAACATCAGTATGTTGTGTGGGTATTATAGCTTCCTGCTCTATACAAATTCCCTGTTGACTGTTCTGAAATATACAAATTTTATTGTAAATTATTGATTTGTTTCTTTTATGTTTCCTATGACATATTTTACTGACATGCATAATTTTAAATCATGCATAAACATGGCAACTGTTGCCACACAAAGGCTAAGTAAAAGCCATACAAGTGTTGGATTTACACATCACTTTTTTAGTGATACTTAAACTTGTTATATATTCAGTACATAATTCCAGCAACCTCTTTTTTTTTTTTTATCCTAATATATAGCAGTTGGAATATAGAATTTGCAAGGTCTGTGTTCCTAGAGGCCTTGCTAAAACTGAATTTGTGAATAATACAAAATCCTCTTTGTTCAACAAACACTTCGTTTTAAATTTGGGTTCATTTTGCATCTCGGAGGCCACATCTTTTGAACTCTCACTCAAATCTGGTTAATAAGAACATTCATAAAAAAATGTCAATACAGAAAAGAGATTTAGGTGTGTGAAAGCAAATGGTGACATTTTCAACAAAATTTCAGACCAGTAGCCCTAGTTTTTCACATCATGAAAATCAGGAGAGTGATTAGATGTCTGATTACAAATTTCACAGAGCAGCACAGTCAACATAAACCAAACGAGCATAGTTTTAGAACAGGACAATCATTCCTGTCACAGCTGCTGAACCACTATGACAGAATTACAAATGCAGATGTGATGTACACAGATTTTGCAAAGGCATTTGACATTTGTGTAAAGGTAGAAAGTTGAAAGTGAACATAGAAAAGAGTAAGGTGATGAGGGTATCAAATGATTTAGATAAAGAAAAATTGGATATCAAATTGGGGAGGAGGAGTATGGAAGAAGTGAATGTTTTCAGATACTTGGGAGTTGACATGTTGGCGGATGGATTTATGAAGGATGAGGTTAATCATAGAATTGATGAGGGAAAAAAGGTGAGTGGTGCATTGAGGTATATGTGGAGTCAAAAAACGTTATCTATGGAGGCAAAGAAGGGAATGTATGAAAGTATAGTAGTACCAACACTCTCATATGGATGTGAAGCTTGGGTGGTAAATGCAGCAGCGAGGAGACGGTTGGAGGCAGTGGAGATGTCCTGTCTAAGGGCAATGTGTGGTGTAAATATTATGCAGAAAATTCGGAGTGTGGAAATTAGGAGAAGGTGTGGAGTTAATAAAAGCATTAGTCAGAGGGCAGAAGAGGGGTTGTTGAGGTGGTTTGGTCATTTAGAGAGAATGGATCAAAGTAGAATGACATGGAAAGCATATAAATCTATAGGGGAAGGAAGGAGGGGTAGGGGTCGTCCTCGAAAGGGTCGGAAAGAGGGGGTAAATGAGGTTTTGTGGGCTAGGGGCTTGGACTTCCAGCAAGCGTGCATGAGCGTGTTAGATAGGAGTGAATGGAGGCAAATGTTACTTGGGACCTGACTATCTGTTGGAGTGTGAGCAGGGTAATATTTAGTGAAGGGATTCAGGGAAACCGGTTATGTTCATATAGTCGGACTTGAGTCTTGGAAATGGGAAGTACAATGCCTGCACTTTAAAGGAGGGGTTTGGGATATTGGCAGTTTGGAGGGATATGTTGTGTATCTTTATATGTATATGCTTCTAAGCTGTTGTATTCTGAGCAACTCTGCAAAAGCAGTGATAATGTGTGAGTGTGGTGAAAGTGTTGAATGATGATGAAAGTATTTTCTTTTTGGGGATTTTCTTTCTTTTTTGGGTCACCCTGCCTCGGTGGGAGACGGCCGACTTGTTGAAAAAAAAAAAAAAAAAAAATTGACAAATGCATCATGGTGTGATTGCACACAAAATGAGGATAATAGGCATTATGGGGAAGGTAGGCAGATGGATTTTCAGGTTTCTAACACACACAGCACAGAAGTAGTAGTAAACAACAAAATCCTGCCTAAGTGAGGTAAAAAGCTCAATTCCCCATGGCACTGTCCTGGCACCTCTGCTGTTTCTTATTCTCACAGCAGAGATATATAAAAACACCTATCAGAGTTCTGTATCATTATTTGCAGATGACACTAAAATAAGCCTAACAGTCACTTCAGTAGAAGAGACAGAAAAATTACAGGTGAGTGGTGCATTGAGGTATATGTGGAGTCAAAAAATGTTATCTATGGAGGCAAAGAAGGGAATGTAGTAGTACCAACACTCTTATATGGATGTGAAGCTTGGGTGGTAAATGCAGCAGCGAGGAGACGGTTGGAGGCAGTGGAGATGTCCTGTCTAAGGGCAATGTGTGGTGTAAATATTATGCAGAAAATTCGGAGTGTGGAAATTAGGAGAAGGTGTGGAGTTAATAAAAGCATTAGTCAGAGGGCAGAAGAGGGGTTGTTGAGGTGGTTTGGTCATTTAGAGAGAATGGATCAAAGTAGAATGACATGGAAAGCATATAAATCTATAGGGGAAGGAAAGAGGGGTAGGGGTCGTCCTCGAAAGGGTCGGGAAGAGGGGGTAAAGGAGGTTTTGTGGGCGAGGGGCTTGGACTTCCAGCAAGCGTGCATGAGCGTGTTAGGAGTGAATGGAGACAAATGATACTTGGGATCTGACGATCTGTTGGAGTGTGAGCAGGGTAATATTTAGTGAAGGGATTCAGGGAAACCTGTTATTTTCATATAGTCGGACTTGAGTCCTGGAAATGGGAAGTACAATGCCTGCACTTTAAAGGAGTGGTTTGGGATATTGGCAGTTTGGAGGGATATGTTGTGTATCTTTATACGTATATGCTTCTAAACTGTTGTATTCTGAGCACCTCTGCAAAAGCAGTGATAATGTGTGAGTGTGGTGAAAGTGTTGAATGATGATGAAAGTATTTTCTTTTTGGGGATTTTCTTTCTTTTTTTGGGTCACCCTGCCTCGGTGGGAGACGACCGACTTGTTGAAAAAAAAAAAAAAAAAGCAGAATTTTCTAGTGGGCAGTGGAGAACAACTTGATGTTCAATAGTGATAAGTTCCAGGCTTAGGCATGGAAAGAATGAAGATCTCAAAAGGAACACTGCTGTATAGCCCTTGTGGCTTAGTGCTTCTTTTTGATTATAATAATAATCAAAAGGAATACTGTATACAAAACTCAAGAGGATCATCAAATAGAATGAAAGGAACATGTAAAAGACTTGGGAATAATTGTCAGCTGACCTTTCTTTCAAAGAGGATAAGACAAAGGTCACAACAGCCAAGATGATGACAGGGGTGGGTAATGAGAACCTTCAAAACAAGGGTTACACTTATCAAATCACTCATGCTCTCTCATTTGGAATATTGCTGAAGTGTTGATGGCCCTGTTCAGGGCAGGAGAAATATCAGCTGGAACAAACACAGCCTGCATAGAGCCAATGAAGCATTTAAATTACTGGGAATTCCATAGTCTTAAATGTACTCACTGGAATGGAGATATGATAATGTAGGAAGAAAGGGAGGCAGTAATTTCATGCACTGGCCAGGGAGGTATACCATCTTCTAGGAATGAAGAAGAGCAGGATGCGAGTGGGGGGGAAGTGCGTGAGGCATTACGTAGAATAAAAGAGGGTAAAGCAGCTGGAACTGACAGGATCATGACAGAAATGTTAAAAGCAGGGGGATATAGTGTTGGAGTGGTTGGTATTTTTGTTTAATGTATGAAAGAGGGGAAGGTACCTAGGAATTGGCAGAGAGCATGTATAATTCCTTTATATAAAGGGAAGGGGGACAAAAGAGATTGTAGAAATTATAGAGGAATAAGTTTACTGAGTATACCAGGAAAAGTGTAGGGTTATTATTGAAAGAATTAAGAGACAGGACAGAACGTAGGATTGCGGATGAGCAAGGAGGTTTTAGAGTGGATAGGGGAGGTGTAGATCAAGTGTTTAAATTGAAGCATATATGTGAACAGTATTTAGATAAAGGTAGGGAAGTTTTTATTGCATTTATGGATTTAGAAAAGGCATATGATAAGTAGATAGGGGAGCAATGTGGCAGATGTTGCAAGTATATCGAATAGGTAGTAAGTTACTAAATGCTGTAAAGAGTTTTTATGAGGATAGTGAGGCTCAGGTTAGGGTGTGTAGAAGAGAGGGAGATTACTTCCCGGTAAAAGTAGGTCTTAGACAGGGATGTGTAATGTCACCATGGTTGTTTAATATATTTATAGATGGGGTTGTAAAAGAAGTAAATGCTAGGGTGTTGGGGAGAGGGGTGGGATTAAATTATGGGGAATCAAATACAAAATGGGAATTGACACAGTTACTTTTTATTGATGATACTGTGCTTATGGGAGATTCTAAAGAAAAGGTGCAAAGTTTAGTGGATGAGTTTGGGAGTGTGTGTAAAGGTAGAACGTTGAAAGAGAACATAGAAAAGAGTAAGGTGATGAGGGTATCAAATGATTTAGATAAAATTGGAGAGGAGGAGTATGGAAGAAGTGAATGTTTTCAGATATTTGGGAGTTGACATGTCAGCGGATGGATTTATGAAGGATGAACTTAACCATAGAATTGATGAAGGAAAAAGGTGAGTGGTGCATTGAGGTATATGTGGAGACAAAAAACACTGTCTATGGAGGCAAAGAAGGGAATGTATGAGAGTATAGAGGTACCAACACTCTTATATGGGTGTAAAGTTTGGGTTGTTAATGTAGCAGCGAGGAGGCAGTGGAGATGTCCTGTCTAAGGGCAGTGTGTGGTATAAATATTATGCAGAGAATTCGGAGTGTGGAAATTAGGAGGTGTGGAGTCAATAAAAGTATTAGTCAGAGGGGTTGTTGAGGTGGTTTGGTCATTTAGAGAGAATGGATCAAAGTAGAATGACATGGAGAGCATATAAATCTGTAGGGAAAGGAAGATGGGGTAGGGGTCATCCTCGAAAAGGTTGGAGAGAGCGGGTAAAGGAGGTTTTGTGGGCAAGGGGCTTGGACTTCCTGCAAGCATGCATGTGTTAGATAGGAGTGAATGGAGACAAATGGTATTTGGGACCTGATGAGATGTTGGAGTGTGAGCAGGGTAATATTTAGTGAAGGGATTCAGGGAAACCAGTTATTTTTATATAGCTGGACTTGAGTACTGGAAATA